GGGGGGGGGGGGGGGGGGAGGTCCCTCCCTCTGAGCCCTCCTCCACTTCAAGGGGCTGCCAGTAGCATGAATTAGGAGGCGTTTGAGGGTGCCCCTTGCTTGTCAGATGTTGTTGGAGGGAGGACTTCCCTTGCCAAGAGGCTGATCGTTGGTCTCTCGGCCGCCACGAGGATGAAAGGCACGAGCACCAGCCTGTGCTGGAGAAGCTGCACCGTGACTGCAGCCACTGGAACCATCTTCAGACAGGCGGCAACCCTTGCTGCCGCCTGAGTCCGAACATGGCTCAGCTACGCTTCCCGCCCTTTAAATTGAAGCTGGGGGAGGCATGGGAGTTGAGTTGCTCTTGTCTCTTGTTGCCTCCAAGGTCACAAGGTCAAGCCATCATTCTTTGCACTTGTTTGCAATTTTTTGCATGTCAACTTTGTCAAGGGAGGACACTCTGGCTCTTAGGTCGGCTCTTGTGCACTTCTGGGTGCAGGTGCAACTCACGGTCCCCCGCCGTTGCGCTGAAGCGGTCTCGCATCAAAAGGGGAGCCGACGAGGGCCAAGTCCGACAGGGGCTCGGTAAGCCATGAAGCGAGCGTTCACGCAGTGCAGCAGATCCCCCTTTTTTTTCGTGCAGTCATTCAGCTTGAGCTTGAGGAGCCAGAATCGCTGGAATCGCTGTCAGAGCTGGATGAGGACGACCTATAGAGGGCAGGCAGGTTCCATGAGTCTCTGGGGAAACGCGAGCGAGACGAAAGTTAAAGGCCACTACTCCTTTTTCTTCTTTGCCTTCTTCTCCTTCTTTTCCTTTGCATCCTTCACGCTTGGGGGCACGTCCAGCATAGGAGTGCCACACCGACAAACCGGCCCATCTTGCCAGCCTTCTCTGTCTTGGGCTTCTTTTCTGGGGGTCCTGCAGTGTCTTTCCTGGCAAACACCGGGCGATGGAGGCAAACACGACACTTCTGGGAAACGCCAGGCGATGGCCTTGTTCCGAATCGCGCACGGTCGTCACCTGAAGGCTATCCCGATCTTCTACGCTAGCACGAGAACTTCAGTATGCTGTAACGCTCGGACGCTACCATGCAAAGACAGTGCTTCAATGCCAAACCCCTTAGAAAGCACTGAGGGCCAAGCCCAGGAAGGCGTTGAAGGGCACCTCGGGCGCCTGTCGAAATCAAAAATTAACCCTGTTTTGCCAAAGCCTGAAACTCTCAGGCCTCTTCTTCCAGGAAGGCCTGCTTGAAGCGTTTCTGCTTGAGCTGTCGCGAAGCGCTGGCGCGGACCTGCCGCGAAGGCTGCGCCGGAGGTAAGGATTATGGAGGAAAGGTTTTGGTTTGTTTTCTGGTTTGGCGCCGCTGTCTGGCCGGCTTGGGTTTAGGATTTAGGGCTGGCTTTCAAGGGGCTGCTGACACATGACATGCGACGCGGCATGCCTCCGCGCCTGGTAAGTGCTTCCGTTCTTGCACTCGTACGTCCAGTGGCCCGGAGCTAGACACTGCTGACCTCACACTGACGCTACGGAGCAATACAGAGTCCTTCACCTGTTTCTTCCCCTTTTAAGACCCCGGGCAGATGATCTTGGCCTTGTTAGCAGCCAAGCTGGCGCCTGAGCAAGAGCTGGAAGAAGCTGGAAGACGGAGGAGTCGGGCGTTCTTTTGTGATCCTGCCTAGCATCACGGCCCCCAAGCATGCCTCAGCACTCAGCACGAGGCATATCGAGGCCCGAGGACGGAGCCGACGGAAGCCGAGGGCCCCGCAAAAGGACCCTCGCGGCCCTGCCCTGTCCCACGGGCCAAGAATGCTGCGGGAAATGTCAGTTCCATCCTGCTCCATCCTCCAGCCTTTCATCCCCGAAAGACTTCTAAGGACATCGGGGCATGGCGCTTTCTCCGACCCTGATCGCTCCGTCAGACTGCTGTCACCAGAGTCTTCTTGTCCGTCCTGGGATGCCAACCCCGGCCAGAGATGTTTGTTTGTTGGGTGGAGGCCCGGCCCCTCTGCCACTTGGCACGGGGGGGCCTCCCTGCCATCTCCAAGCATCCTGCAGGAACCCCTTTAGCCCCGGACTCTGCCACCGAAAAGTCTAGAGTCTATAGGTCTGTAACAGTCTGTAGACCGCTTCGATGCCTTCGATGCCTGTGTAGACTCTAATAAAGACTCTAAAGTTCTAAAGACTATGCGCGATGCGCTTCAGGCTTCTTCATGTGAGACCCTACACTCTTCCACTAACAGCTGCAAATCTCTCATGTCAGCAGCGCAGGAACTTCCCCGAGCATCAGCCTCAAGCTCTCGCTTTGCCCATGCCCGCAATGCCCGCAATCAGTCGAGGAATCCAAGGCTCCGAGCCTCTCTCGGATGCCAAAATGATCTTGGAAACCTCAGGAAACAGATGCCAGCGGTCGCGCCTGGTGAAAAAACTTGCTGGGAATCCGGCCATGGCATCCAGCTGCAAGAGGTTCTGGGCTCCCGCCGTCACACGCGCGTGTGCGAGGCCGATCTGGCGGCACAGGAAGAGGAAGAGACTTCTTCTGTGACAGCTGCTCTTCGAACAGCGTGGTCGGATTTCGTCCTCCTTGAGCCACTCCAGCTTGATGTGCTCTGGGGCCTCCATCTGCTTGGCAACGCGCCTGCCGGTAGGGGAACTACTAATGACCAAGGTGCACTCGAGACTCTGCCAGGACCCCAGCGAGAATGTGGAGATGATGTCGGTGGTGCTGTAGCCCTGGTTCCAGATCTCGTGCATCGGGCCAAAGGTGCCCTCGGTCTGTGCTAAAGTGCTAGGATGGGTTCTCGGTCACCATATTATAGCATACCATAGCTGCCCGTCCAGCGTGCCGGCCTTGGCATCCTTCTTCAAGCTGGCCTCCAGGCAGCTCTTCACCTTCTCGGGCTGGGGCTGGTCATTCATCCTGTCAGGCTCTTCCGCCTCTTTTTTCACTCTGCGCACTCGTCGCCCCCTCAGCCCTCCTGAAGACCGTCGCTTTGTTGATTTCCCCGAAGGCGTTGAAGGTCGACCTCGGGCTCCGCTACGGCGAAGCTTCGGGAGAGCGGGAACGCACTGGGCAACGCTGGCAGGGCCTTTGCGGGCCGGGCCTCCGGCTGCGCTCCGTTCAGGGCGTTGCGCATGTCACCCTCTGCGGAGAAAGCCAAGGCTTCCAAACCAGACTGGTCGTACCTGAGCCACGTCTAACCGCTGACACTGGCAGTGTGAAAGCTGTCGAAGAGGGCCAAATGATGCACAACTGAGGCTGGCCAAGTACAGACGTATTTCTGCTGTTCTTCCGACTGTGCCACGACTGTCGCAGAACAACTACGCTGATGTATATATATATATATATATATCATGCCGATGATGGTTGCTTCGACGCTAGCCCACACCCAGTCCATGGCAGGACTACATCGATGATTCTCACCCTTCTTGCAATCCTCCAGAAGGCCCTTCGCAGATCTTTGCTCCCTGCAAAATCTCTGAAAAGGCACGGGGCGCCCTCCTTCTCCAACACTAGCTTCAGCCTTTGAAGCATGTCCTGTCGGGCTTGGAGTTACTCTGCCGGCCTGACAGTCAAATCCTCTCCGAGATCCTCGTCGGATATTCGGCTGAAACGAAGGATCGCACAGCGGGACCTCAACACGAGATTCTTTACGAGATGTCGTGAGACTTGCCAGGGGCCCCCGGCTGGATGGGTTCGATGATCTTCGAAGAGATGTTGCACGCCAAGGCAAAGCGAGTGGTTTCGCCTCAGAAATACACGGGCCCTTCGATTCTTTAGGCCCAGTAAGGATGTACTGAGTACTCTCTCGTGAACATAGGGGGTCCAACTGAAGATTTCCATCGTCCGACGCATGGCCTCCACAAGTTCCCCAACGCCAGGAGCCATCAAAGGGTCCCCCCCTCACGACGCCTGCTGCGCAGCTTGGGTCATGCTGTCTGCTTCATCCAGAATAATTACCTGCACAGTCTGGACGTCGTGGTCCACAACACGAAGACTCTAAAGGAGCTGAGCTGGGACCTTCAGCTTGCCTTCTGGCAAAGAGACCTTTTGTTGCGCGAAGCCCTGGCGCGTCGGGCAGCACGTGTGCGCAAGCAATGGTGCATCTTGATGTCTACCGTGTGTGTATCTCCCATAGACTCTCTCTTTCTCTCTCTCTCTCTCTCTCTCTCTCTCTCTCTCTCTCTCTCCGGCACCTTGATCTTTTCGCGCACGACGTCGATGCCTCGGTCATCCGAGGCGTTCAGCTCGATGCAGCCCTGCTCGTAGTGCTCTTTCAGGTGCTCCCTGGAGTAGCGGGAGCGAGACTTCTCAAAGAAACTTCAGGGCGGCCCCGGCCCCGGCGCCAGGCCTGGCGAGGCAGTGCACCACCGTCGTCTTGCCACAGCCGGGTGGACCGGTGAGGAGCAGGTGGGGGAAGGTGCCTGCGACGAGCGACGACTCCCAAGCATGGATCTATGCCGGAGCACCAGGGTCCTGGCCTGCGGTGGCATGTGATCTGAGGATCGTCACGGCAGCAGAGTTGCCGACCACGTCCTTGCACGTGTCGCGCTCGGCAAACAGTGTAGGCACACGCGCAGGTGCCTCGAACTTGATGGGTCGGTACTTCTCCAGCCATATCTCCGGCATGGCCTCTCACAGGAGTCTACCAAAAATGGTGCTTAAATACAAACCAAAACGTTGGAACCTTTTCAGGCAGGAGCTGCTGCCGCTCCTAAAGTGAACGCTGCCACCCTACTCCCGAGCCGATGAGCCGATGGAGTGCCAGGATCTAAGAGTTTTCCAACGCGGTCCGAAACTGCCACATCATGCAGAATCAAAGCCTGGCAGCAGGGACAAATCTTCAGCTTTTTTCGCTGCTGTCGAAGCTGACGCACGATGTCCGGAGGACATGCAGGTAGATGCAGCGTCTCAGCCAGCGCATTGAGGAAGCTGTCCGTTGGCATCGAGCTCGCATTGCTGCCTTTTGAATCAAATCAGAGTAGGCAAACGTTGGCGCTTCTGTTTGAGCTTTCAGTGGAATTCAATGGAATTCAATTCAGGAAATCAGAGAAGTGCTCCATGACAGCCATGGCCCTTTTGCGAAAACGGGCACAAGATCCCCATGTGCCAAACAGGCAGGATTTCACAGTTGAAGGCAATCGTTGCCAGGTGGCAGCTGCCAGAGAGCACATCGAAGCCACCACAGCTCTCCAAAGCGACAGAGCAGGCGCGGAACCTTTCCACGCCATCGAGCTCTAAGCAACTCCAAAACCTACACGCAACGAAGGTGGCCTCACGAGCCCAGGCTCCACGGCGCCCCAACAGCACCTCCCAGGCACTGCCCAGCCTGCGGATGGACGGGACGGGACGGGAGAGCTCCGCTCTGCAGGGCAGACTGCGGACTGCGGTGCCTCCGGGCCAGGAGGCAAAGCAGCGTCGCTAGGAGCCAGCGGTTCTGGCGCAAGGCCAGGGCAGATGCGAGGTGCGCAGCCAGGGCAAGCCCGCTGGAGGTGTCCAGGCCAGCGCCTCATGCCCCGATGCGAGGCTCAATGCACTCCGTTCGGGTCGAACTCTTCCGACGAGCATCGAAGTCGTGATGGAACGAAGACCGTCCTTCCAGTCTGCTCAAACTCAGCCTGCGCTGTCTGGGCACATAAAGTCTGGTTCCATGGCTATCGATGCGTCTTCTGGCCTTGTCCATGCGAAACTGGCCGCCAAGAAGCGCATTGCTGGGCAGGCAGTCGCCAAAGCGAGGTTGAACCGACCTTGACTAGCTTGCCCAAGCAGTTGTTCTCGACATGTCTGTGCAAATCACCACTACATCTAGATCGAAAGATACGCTCATGCACGCACACGAGCGCACACAGAGACAGAGACAAAAAAACATTGTTCTAGCTGGCGATCATAGTGGTCGCAGGAATATTCGTCCACGGGGGGAGGAGTGCGGGGTTGGTCGGTCGGCTGTGCCTCCCCTGTGCAATGCTGACTGAAATTTTGCTCGTGATTCCCCGCGCGAGCGCAGCACGTGAAATTGCTGCCAGCTCTACGTCCGCAAAGGAAAAGTCTGCGCGACGGTGCAGAATTGGCTCTGGACAGCCCTGCTGTCAGCCACTTTGCTTTGGTGGCTACCTGGTACCTGTGAAGATATTTCGACCTTTTCCGAAGTGCTCTGTGGTTGACAGGGTAAGTATTTGCGAAAGAAATTATTTGGGGGGATCTACCCGGCATCTGTGTCGCGTGAAGCCAGAGAGCCCACCTGCGTCGCACTTGCGCCCAAAAATGCCTCTTGCCTACCCTTGAGACTAACACTACAGAAGAAACAGGAAACTCGGCTCTAACAGTACAAGGCGCTATACTAAGTTACTAAGTACAGCAATCGGAATTTACAGAGATATCATGTAGGGTTTGTCTGGCCTCGTGCTATATGTGGTTTGAAAATGGCTCCGTTCTTTTCCTTACCCCTCGTTGCTCACTAGCTGGCACGCATTACCGACAAGCCAGATCTGCTAAAGGGAAGCGAAGATGCGTAGCTCACTGCGCCGCGACACTCCTAGAGACACGACGAACGCCCTCAGGCTGAGAGGCAGTCCGGTCCAGAGCGGACGGTGGCTCGCCGCGGAGGAGGACGCAGACTTCACGCAGGGCCTCGAGGCGAGAAGGCAGGCCAGGAGCTGGCTCATTCGAAGCGTGCGCCGGCACTGGCAGGCACGGGTTCCCGGCGAAGTAGGCACTCACGAAGCATGCCAACGTCTGGCCTGCCGTCATCTGCCCTCATGTGCCCTCCGCGTGCTGGGGAAACCGTGGCTCCGGGCCCTGCTGATGAGCGAGTACTGCGGTGGCTCGTGGAGGCTGCTCACCACAACGGCAGTGGACTGCACAGGCGCACAGGGCATTGCACGGGGGCACTTCAGCATCTCCTTCCTCCGGGGGCCTTCCGCAGCCCAGGGCACGAGCCACGCCTCTTCAGCAAAGTCTCATTGCGAAGAGCACGCGCGGAGAAAGCAATGCTGGCTAAAGCACCCAGACAGTGGCACCCAGCAGGAGACGGAAGCGCCCCGCAGACTCCAAAAAGCTCACAACACAGCCCCCTCCACCAGGCTGCCTTGATGAAAATGCGAGAAGCTCCATTACAGCAGAGATGCTCCCATGGCTAAGCTCAGTGCCGCGCACGAGGCCTCCCAGCGCATACACCGTGGCCTCGAAGCCCAAGGAGACCTCAGAGCCCCCGGCCGGGGCAAGCGAGCAGTTTTCTCATGTGGGATTGCCTGCAGCACAGCCAGCGAAACGAAGAGGACGCCCTCCGACTGCGTCTCAAGGCATTGCTCCTTCGTTCAAACTTGAGACGCTGATCAAAATCGCCCTCATCCATGATGGGCTTTTAGGAGCTTTTGCGGGGTGCCTTCACCAGGATGAGGTGGCCAAGGGCCACGCACAAGTAGATCACCGTGGCCACCTGGCTGGGGCGTAGCATCACCCCTTTTGGTCGACACCAGCAAGCTTTCTCTTTCGATTCGAAAGGCGCCGACGGGGCGGGCCCAGCCAGGATCTGCCAGGCCGTGGGCCTGACGCATGCATCAGTGTTCCACGAACGGTGACCTCATTCTTTCTGTGCCCGTTCAAGCAGCAGGAAGCAGCATCTTCGACCGGCCATGCGGAGGCCTCCTCGCTGTCTTGCTGCTCGATGTCCTTGTCAACCTGGAAAAGAAAAGACTTTGTCAAACTCCCCAAAGTCCAAAGTCCAAAGAGAATGGCCTCTTTGCCTTTCTCGCGGTTCTTCAAGGCGTCCTCGGGGCTGCACCTTCACAAACAGAGTTGGCCAGAACTTCAAGGGCAGAGCAACGGCGCTGAACTGGGGGTGATGACAGCTCCCCGCCATCGACCTCGACAGCTCCACGCCATCGATTTCGCGCCGTGGGAAAGCGGCCTCTTCCATGGCGCCACAACATCACGAAGAGCAACGAGTAATCCTGTTGCCTACATCTACATGAGATGGACATCTTGCCGTGGTGGGCATCTGCCCTCAAGCATTGAACCATGTGCGGACGGCATGCTTTTGCGACAGGTGGGGTCAGCATCATGTGTGTGAACGAGAGTGTGTGTGTGTGTGTGCTTACACTTTGCATTTGCAGACTGAAGCTCTAGGTGAGTGAGGTAGTGTGTGAGTGTGTATGTATGTGCGCCCACCCACACCCGCCCGCCCGCCCGCCCGCCCACCCACCCACCCACCCACCCACACCCACCCGCACCCACCCGCACCGGAAGGCTCAGTGTTTGGGGTTTCTTCTAATGAAGCGTCCATGGGTAACAGGGTGTGACAAGCACACACACAAGAGTACAAATGAACATGCACATGTACCGAAAAACACATACATTGACGTGAGCATTCTGCGCACACACCCACTTAGCATACATGTGTAACATCGCGACATGCAGATGTGCATCAAGGCCAGATGGTCGCAAGGCGACATCTAAGAGCAAGCACAGTGACACCCCACAACACGTTATACACTTATACAGCGCGCACGCCGGCGGACACCCTTACAAAACCACCACAAACACAAACACACACACACACACACAGAGACACACGTAGCTCACTGGCCGCCTGCTCTATGCCGCTCTGTTTCTGCATTCCCTTCCATTGCACCACTGGGTCTCCAAGTTTCTCGGCCGAAACACAAGACCTTGGGCTGCCTTCGGACCAGCCCGAGAAGTGAAAGGACACCGGCAGGTCCCCAGGGCCAGAAAGCAAAGGGTTCCATTCGTCTTATGCTTCTATCAACTTCTACCACAAGCTTACAGTTGATGTCTTTGTCCTTGGTCTGTTCTCTGTCATTTCGTTTCAGATTCATTAACAAGAAGCATGCGTTCACTCATTTCATTCACTTCCTTACCTTGCTTAATGTAATGACACAAAGGCCCTAAAGTGGTTAATGTAGTCTCTAGGTCCACCCTCGAACGATTGCTGAACACACACTGACAGAAAAGCTGCTGACTCTGAGGGTACCGTCGCTGTCAGCGGACTGTCAGTGGCCCGAGCATAGGCCCTGCCACTGTGCAGGCGCTTGATTGGCCTTGCTCAAGCCGCTCAAGCCTCTTGTAGCTACGAGCACAGCCACCAGGGAATCCGTTGGCAAATCCGGGTAACTTGCGATGCGAGTCTTCACCGATGCGAGGATGTGGTTCGATTCCAGAGCTGAGACGTGACCCGAAACCGTAGCCATGGGCAGCAGCACGGCTGGAGCCTTTGACGTGAAATCTTGCTAGAAACCTGAGACATTGACTCTGCGCCCGCTATCGCCCGGGCAGCAACAAACAGGCACTGAGATGCACCTCCTGGACTATGGGCACACATCCTCCTGCGCTCCGCCAACTGGGATGATCTGGCAATGTGCAGTGGAAAAAGCTGCAGAGACCGCTGCTCACCTGCTGTTTTGTGGGCTTGCGTTTCCGTGCACTGCATCTTGGGACACCCAGGGCCCTCGAGACTAGGTCGGCATGTTTTGTGGTGAGCAGACAGCAGCACAGGCACAGTCTGTATCAAAAGTCAATTGATTGGAAGCATCGCCAGGGGATGCAAGCGAAAATTGCTGTGCCTTAGGCACACGATCACGTGGGAAGCAAGGCATCATAATGAAGGCCTCCTTGGTAAAGTACCTCGGTGTAGCTGTCGTGGTTCCCATGGATCACATCTCGTCTTCGAGACATCTGAGGCCCCGGGCATGGACAGTACGAACAAATCCATCCTGAGCAGGATGTCTCACGGTCTTTCCGCCTCCATTTCAGCATTTCCGAGCTGCCTCATGTTACACAGTGAGAGACTGGTTCACCCTGCGCCAAAAGAACACCGACCGTCCCAACCCAAGCCCAAAAGGTCTCGAATATGGTCTGGGGATGTCCGGTGGGGAGTCTGGGGCCTGGGGACAAACTCCCTGCCTGCTTGGGGGCATCAAAGCAGGAGATGCGCTTGAAGGCCGAGGAGATCCTGCGCCAGAAGAAGCCCAAGAAGCCCAAGAAGCAAGAAGGAACCGCGCCCAGTGGGCGCAAAAGGGCTGATTTTAAGAAGGAGGTCGCCCCTGGGTCCTGCTGACGCTCTCGTAGACGTGGATGTTGACGTTTTTCAGGTGTGAGCAGCACGCCTGGGGGACGAAACGAAGGGCGCACACCACAGCATGGATCGGCGACCCTCAGCCACATGGGGCACTGACCATCTCGATGCCGCCTCCCCAACCAGACATGCTCTGACGCCTGGCGTACCTGGGGTACGAGACTTTCCGGAAGCCAACTGCGGCTCAACCCAATTCGAAAGTCTCCATTGAGGGGCCTTGACCCATCAATTGGGCGCACGTCTCAACGGAGGAGCTCGAGTCCCACCGAACCCACTCCTTTAGGGCTAACAAACTTTCGGAGTTGTTGGATACTTCTTGGCTGGAGCCTGTTTCGTGCCAGCAGCTAAGGCAGTAGCAGTGGCACTAGCAGCAGCAGGAGGAGGAAGAGGAGCAGCAGTAGTCAGTAGTCACTGCGTAGTTCATCCCATACACATACATGTCCAGCAACCTGCGCCGAAGCATGCTGAAGGGTTTTTCGGGGGGTTGGGGGCTGACCACCTAGTGTCCTAGTATACACTCAAAGTTTGTGGCTTTGCAGTTTCCTGCGAATAACATGCCGGAGTTTGCAACACCTCCTAGCTCTTGAGCTAGCGCAAAGGGTGGCTGGTGAGGCTATATACTCGCAGAGGTCGGCATCGCCATCGTCGTCGGAATACATCGGCGGAATGTACTCGGCTGCTGGAAAATGCTGCTGTAGAAACCGCTGCTGCCGAGCAGCAGTCGTGGCTGGTGCCGCTACTCCTCGTGCTACTCCTCCAGTCGTCGTCGTCGTAGTCGTGGCACGAGTGGGAGTCGCAGTAGCAGTAGCAGTATCGTCAGCAGCAGCAGCAGCAGCAGCAGTAGCGAGTCCTCCAAGGTATCCCCGGCAATTTCTAGGTCAGGTCGATCGCGCAAGAACTGCGCTAGCTCTCGACCTCGGGGTTCGGCTCAGGCTATGTGATTAGCAAATACGACATAGAAGTCACACCTGAAGATTGCTGGGATCCCAGCGCAAGCTTCTAGCATCGGTGTTACCCAGGCCTGGCTCGCAGCGATGCTCCACGGAAACCGAGCTGCAAGGGATCGACCCGGCTACGGCGTGCCGTAGCTGAGGGAGTGGTACAGACAGCTGCCGTCTCCGGGTTGGCGAATGACGCGTGCATTCCTGCAGGGAGCTGAAGGAACCTCTTCAAGGAATCGTGGACTGGGTCACCCTTGCTCCGCTTCTCCTGAGCACAAAGTTGCCCGGGTTGCCTCCCATCTGATGCGGATTGTTCTTACAGCCATAGTTCACCTGCCACCAGCTAGCGCGTGCCAGCTGTCCATGATACTGATTCCTGGGGGCCGCACCCAGGCGTCCTTGTGCTTCTCTCTATCTTTCTGGAAGTGCGGGCACCTGCCATAGTGAGCTTGGCGCAGTGCTTCTATGCTCTGCCAACGGCCTATCCGTCGGGTGCTTGCCATCGCACTTGTCGCAGGTGGTGGAGCCGGAGCTGCCGGCAGAGGTGATGCCTCGCAAGCTGAGACAAGCTGAGTTCGGCAGAGTGAAAGGAACCCGCGCCTTCGCGATCCGACTTCAGCCTGCAGGGGTGACAATCTCGGCTTGTTGTGTTGCCCGAGGGTTCAATCCCGGAAAGCATAAGCAAGCACAAAAACGAGCATAAGCAAGACAACCCGTACAGACAAACACCTACGCATAAAAGCCTAAACACAACAGAACATCAAAACAGGCATAAGCAAGCAAGTGCAAGCACAAAACACCTAAGCAACAAGGCAATTCCAGCGGGCCTTCCGGGGCCCGCAGCAACGCTCTTGCTGCGGGTGCTGCCCTCAAGGCAGCCAAAAATGGCCGGGGCCCGTAAGAGACCGCAAAACTGCATGCGATCGCGCCCTGTTGCGCTCCTGGGGCATTGAGAAAAGCTGCAGAACAACGTGGCGAATGGCACCATTGAGTGCACAAGGCCCCCGTACGAACTGTAACTGGCTGGAGGGCCTGGCTATGGTTAGAAGATGCTCATTAGCAGGCGCATGTCTTGCAAGCTTGCACAGGGCCCCCCAGCATGATCCGACATGCAGGCTTCATCCCCCTCTTTGCTTCCAATGACGCTGGCTCCAGGCGAAACGGCAGTTTTGCCCCCACTTCGCAGACTCTTCGCAGACTTTGCAGTCCAAAGTCCATGCCGAGGCCCCGGGACCGAGGGAGTCCGAGGGACTGCACTCATCATCAGCCTCCGAAAGATGTCGAAACTCCTCAGACTCTTGAACACTTTAGTTGCATCGTTTGCATCAGTGCTGCACGAAGGGCATGTTCAATAACACTATGCCACCGCTGTTGATTCTGCAATGGCTCCATATCGAGTCTCCAAGCTGCCCTGGAGCGGATGCGGTCTTTGTCTTGAAAAGGCAGACTTCTCCAGAGCAGCAGATCCGCAAAGCAAGAGATATGTTGTGGCAGGTACGTCGAGCAACTCTCAGTCTGCCTCTCAAGGCATCATCTTACGCTTAGACGCTGAGGGGCGCCTGCCATGCATTGCTATCGCCCCCCAGGGGCTGGAGGTAGATTCACAACACGAGATGAAGTAAAATCCTTCTGCACCTGACCCCAAAAAGGGGACCTCAAGTTTCAGAAACCCCCCATAACTTACGGGTGAGACAGGATTGGACGGTTCGCAGCCAAGTCTACCGCTCACCAGAAAGAATGAGCTCTTCGCCTCCTGGAGGCTTGTGCCCCCATGCCCCTACTCTTTGCAGGCAGCTCATCTCCCTGGAGAGCCTAGGAACGTGCACGCGCTGTCAATACAGCGTACTACTTGAATCACCCACCCAGGAGAGGCAAAAAAAGAAAACAGCGGAACCGGAAACACTTACCAATAAAGCTCATCCTAAGCTTTCATAGCCAGGGCAGGCTAGGTGTTTTCAACTTTTTTGGCCGAAACACAAGACGTCGGGCTGCCTTCGGCACAGCCCGTGAAGTGAAACGAGACCGGATGGTCCGGCCTTGTCTGAGCAGCGCCACCACTGTCAAAAGCAGGTCCCAAGTCAGCCAAAAAGCAGATGTGCCCACTTTCTCAAGCTCTCAAGCATCCCGGACCGGACTGATCAGGTGGTGGCTCTGCTGAATTTTCAGGTGGATGACGGTCCGAGGTCAGCCGATCGTGGCACTGGCTGCAAAGGAACCGAAAGCATGCTCCAGTCAAAGCTGCCCTCAAACAGAAGCTCATCGAGACAAGCCAGATGCAAAGAGAAACACAAACCCCTTCCCCGTCACCGATACTGAACCTTCGAGTGCTTCATCCCACACGTGGCTTAGGGCTGGCCTCTGCCGTTGCAGGACCCTTCAGGCAGGGCAGGCTGTGAGCAGCCTCTGGCCCTTGAGCTATTGATACTGATACTAGACTCACTAGACTCACTAGACAGTACACCGTATCTGGAACAACAACGAAGACAAGGAGATCATTATCCTGGAAGCAGCGATCACAAAGAACTCGACGCTCCGGAAGCCGTTGTTGCAGGCTTTATGCGGCTACAGTGTGCGGTGGGGCCAAGCCTGCCTTGGAGTTCGCGGTTCTACTAGCTATAACACTAACCGCAAGAGACGGAAGCCTGAGGCAACTTGTAACCTGCACAGATCCGAAACACAATGACAAGACGCATCTGAACTACATCAAGCTATGGTCGCTGTCGCTCGAGCACAAGCCCTACCCTGCACAGGCTCTTGATTGGCCTTGTATGCTCAAGCCTCTTAGCTACGAGCAAGTCTGGTCCGTGCAATGAGTAATCCGTTGGCAAGTCCGGGTAACTTGCGATGCGAGTCTTCGCCGCCGCAGGGACGTGGCTTGATTCCAGCAGTAAGAGCATCGGCTGCTTACAAATACACCCGCCTTTCCGGAATCTCCTACAAGCAGTCAAAATCGAGTAAATGGTCCTTTGTCCTTTGTGATAGCTCTTCGAAGCCACGACCAAGCAGCAGCGCAGTGGCACCGACGGCTCTGGCCCTCCAAGCCACTGGTGTGGCTCCGCTTCCCCTGACCCCGTCTGAAAGGTGTGGGCGCATACTACTCTGAGACATGGGACTATCCGGTCCTTGCTTCTACGATCGCCGGCACGCTCGAGGGCAAAGGACGCGCAACGGCTGATAATCTGACGCCGAAGTACACTGGCCAAACATCTCCTGGACTCTGAGCACATCCTCCGGCGCTCCGCCAATTGGGATGCTCTGGCAGCGTGCACTGGAAAAAGCTGCAGAGACCGCTGCTCACCAGCGGTCATTACAACTTCGGACACATAAGGCCTAGGTCGGCTAGAATAGGGAATCCAACCGTGCATGGCGAGCAGCATCTCCACCTATAGCCAATCGACTAGAAGCATCGGCCACGAGATATAAGCATTGAAATTTAAAGTGCCTTAGGCACAAGATCACGGAGGCTGCAAGGCATCATAGTGCAGGCCTCCTTGATAGAGTACCTGTAGCCGCGCCCAGCTGCAGCTTCAACTTGTGTAACTGGGTTGTGAGGCAAATGATAACCCTGGTAGGCCACGGGCATGGACAGTGCGAACAAATCGATCCTCAGCGCACAGAAGCAGTCCCTTCTGCCGCTGATCAGTGCGTCCCCTAAGGCACGTCATCCCACGGCCCCGTTGACTTACGCGATCGCTTGTGATGCACAATAGCATGGGTCGCTGGCCTGTTTGGGTGCATCAAAGCATGAGATGCGCTTGAAGTCGCAGCCATTCCTGTGCTGTTGAGGCCGACTGGGCACAGGAAGAGAAACTTGAGGTCAGGGTCGCTTCCAGCAAAAATTACAGCAGAACCCCCAATGCCGCCCTCTGTCCTGCTGACACTCTCATAAACGTGGATATTTACGTTCTTCAGCTGCGAACAGCAAGCCTGGATGCAGGGAGGAGCACACAACGCAGCATGAAGCTCCATGCAGTGACACTGGACGCTGACCATCTCGATGCCGCCGCCCCAACCAGACATGCTCTGACGACTGGCGTACCTGAAAACATTAGACGGAGGTCCAGATCCCCGGTATGTTCGAGTGATGGAAGCAGGCGATTTGATGGACAGGCCACACAGCAAGTTGGTCCGACTGTCGACGCTCCGCAAGGTTTCTGAACAGGTCGCAGAGACACTCAGTCTTCTGAGACCTTCTGAGCTCTCCGAATTGGAACACAAGACTCTGCCAAAATTTGCAATTCTCGGATCTGGGGCCCGGCCGTTGTGCGCGTGATGCCAACAAGACCCGTGAAGGCACAGCCGTCAGGCCGCACCATGCAAAGCTGTGCCAAGAAAAAACTAAACTGTGTCTAGACTAGACATGCCGAAAGAACTGTACAGATCACCTGTGCAAAGCGGCTTCTATGCAGCTGTTTAGATCAATTCGATCCCTGTTCCGATACTGCAGCTGGTGGCAGCTTGTCGTCAAGGGCGCCAATTCTGTGGAGGTGAATGGCTTTAGACTCGGGCTTCAGCGGCTTGAAGGATGTGCGAAATACATGGAAAGTGAATCGTTCTGTACTGGTCAGCAGCGCATCCACGTTGACGCAGTCCCCGTTGGGGAAGAACGGGCCTCCAAAGGCTCTCTCTCTCTCTCTCTCTCACACACACATCACATCTTGCATACGCGCGGAGGCCTTTGTCCAGAATGAACATCACCCGCAGCATCCCTCTGAAGCAGATGAAGTAGAGGTAGGATGCCACCAAAGGCCAGAACTGAAAGCACTGCTCCGTATCAGCATACATCTTCGTCGGGTAGCCCACTAAAGCCAAAGCAAGGAGGATGTTGGTCACCACAATCATCATGACTCTCATCAGCTGACTCCTCAGATGCTGCTCGCACTTCGCGCCGTCCTTCCATAGCCCAAAATAACGATGCTGTCACATGCTACAGAGATCTACAGAGACTTCCGTGGAGACCGAGGCCGGGGCGTCTGCATGTCAGGCATGTCAGCAAGGGAGGCCAGGATGCCACGCAAGTCGCAGACCTTCCGCATAAAGATCTCTGTGTCGGCGGCCTGCACCGAGTCCGCCGCAAGTTCTTCATGCCAAAGGGCACCGAGCCAGGACACCAGCGTGTCTCGAAGCTTCGAGCTGGCAAAGACGAGTTGCTGAGCCTCCCCATCCAAAAGCAGGCCCACGGACCGAAGCTCCATGAGGACCTGCTCCGGCGATTTGCCCACCCGAGAATCCAGCTTGAAGTAGGCCAAGTAGTGGATAGCATTCAAGTATCTGTACCATCTGAACAATCTCTGGCGCTGAATCTTCCCAGCGACCGGATCGTTCAGCTTCCTGTACGAGCTGGCTATAACCAAGGTCACATCATGCAACCGGCCCTGCACGCTAAACATTGTTCGAAGCCATTGCAACCACCGAGAGACATCCTGCCCGACCATGTAGGTAATGAAGAAGGTTGGAAGAAACTTGAACTCATCCATGGTGCCTGTGACTCTTCTCAGGTTCGCCAGGAACTGCTCATAGCCTCCCACTGCTTCCATGATCGGATAAAGCGCCTGCTCCTGTCGCCTCGTGAACTGAACTTCCGCCAACAATGCCCCGACCACTCCGGTAGCGCATGCATAGGTGATGGCACTGAGGGACATGCGCACAAGACCTGACGTCAAAAAGTAGACAAGGACCTCCCCCGGTGTGTGGCAATACTGCCGATAGCCGGAGTAGGCAGGTGGCGGAACAGTGCCCTCTCCATTCTCACGGCAGAAGTTGTGCTCGTCCCGGAAGAAGCCCAAGAAGCTCATCTCTCTCCGCAGGGCCATCTTCACCTGAACAAAGTCCATGTGTCTGCAGACAGACAGCTTGGAGGGCAACGCTGCAGACAAGAAGGACGCCTGATCCTGCACGGGCTTCTCTAGATCGCGGAACTGCAAGGCATCCGCCTCGAGCTGTCCAGCAGGAGCTGCAAGTCCACGCAAGCACCTCATCACTTTCTCCACCAGGTCCGGCTTTTTGAAGATCAATGCGGTCCCCAGTGTCAGGAGCAAGAAGGCGTAACAAGTTGGAAAGCAGCCGTGAGTGGGAGGAAACTCTCGGAACATGGGAAGCGGCCTGTCGCGGCTGAATTTGATCCAGCGGCCCCACCTGGAAATCCCAGCTTCCTTCAGCCACTTGCAGGCTGCGAGATTCGGGTCGGAGCCCGTATCCTTCCAGGCCTCGAACAACTTCTCGTAATCCTCCTTCTCCAAGCTAAAGTGAGCAGCAAAGTGCGCTGCCTCCGGAGAGGACTGGAAGGCTGGAGAGATCACGCTGACTAGCGGCTGTTCCTCCAGGTGGCACCCAAATCTTCCCGCCGGGGTCGTGGTCTGTGTGAAGTTGCAACCATACTTCTTCGGCGGAAACTGGACAGGGACAAAGCTTGCAGCGGGCACTCCATCCACCCCTGGCGACGGAGTGTAGTGCTGGAAGAGAACATCACGCTTCGAGGCAAATGCCTTCCAAACTTGCGCTTCCTTCGAAGTCGGTGACAAGTAGGTCACGGAAAGCGGCAAGTTGTTGTTTGCAATCTGCTGCTCCAGAATGCCCTGCGTGTAGTGGGAGTAGTCGTGCAGGACTTGGCCCTTACAGTTCATGCCATCGTGACGGCAGGATGGCGAAAGCCAGGTATAGTTCTTGCACTGCCACTCTGCTCGCGAACACAAGTTTTCCGGATCTGCTGCAAGCTCTCCTGCCATGGATGCGTTGCCAGCACCGAGCCACTGCAACTCTGGGCTGCCCAAGTTTTGATGGAACTGGGCATGGGGAAAGCGATCTACGGTATGCTTTAGCGTAAAGATACCACTGACTCCGGAGACGCGATGATGACCTGCCACAATAGCTCTGCCGTCCCGCACCCATCTCCCTATCTGCTCGTCTTTGCCTCCTTGCCAAACCTCAAAGTTGGCATCGGCACTGCCCATGGAGATCGCCCTGAAATCATGCACAGGGCTTATATGCGGTGACACGCGATCGATATCGTACATCAAAACCTCCTCTAGGAGAATGGCTGCCACCTCCGACACCAGTTGATGCGACGTCCAATCGTGCTTGATGATTCTGAAAATCTGCTGCTGCCTCGGTCGACGAGGAATGCCCAGCTGGCACGAGGCATCGGCAGCAGCGATCATCAAAAGGACTCCGAAGCGCGAGCATAGCACCGACATGCTGCTTCTACAGGTATGATGGTTAGTTCCCTGTGCCTGAAATTGCCTACTCCGTAACCTTGCCAACCAACCAGAGGGCGACAGCAGAACATAAGCATTGACGATCACTGACAAGGGGAGCCTTTGATCCTTCAGAAAACCCATTCCCGACATACCGGCAATGTGCTCGGACCGAGAATTCATCGGACGCCTGCGTCAGTGGATGAGCCTGTGTGCAAAAAATGAAGAGCGCCAGCCGGCGGTCTAACCGGTGCACGTCTCGACGGAGGAGTTCGAGTCCCATCGCACCCACTCCTTGCGGACAGGGAAGTCAGCAGTGGCGGGGCTCTTGTGCAAGACGGCCGTTCACTGGACGAGTTCCGACAACATAGGTGAACTTAGCTTGTCCCTTGGCGAATCTGCCTTTTCTTGACTTTTTCTCATGCTGGTTTGAGTTATGCATACTTATGCTGGGGAGGAAGGAGGGGAAGAGGAAGGGAGAAGGGGAGGGAGAGGAGGGAGTGGCCTCCTTAAGACTAAGTCCAAACAGCCATCTATACAGGTTCCCCCACCCCTCCGCCTGCAGCAGTGGGAACCCACAGAGGAGGAGGGGGAGGAGGAAAGCACGCGACACACCCAAGCGGAGGCGTGGACGAAGCGGGGGGTGTGCTTGACAGACCCAGCGGCCGAGGCGAGACGGGCAGCGAGGGAGGGTTTCGCACGGAAGCGAAAGCGTCCAGTGGAATTCAAGGTAACTCAACACATGTATCAAGAGCTCCAGCACCACATCAGACGAGAAGCCGAAGCCTCAGCCACACGCAACAAGAACTGCAAACCGTGCGACCAACACGAAGCGGCAGCTCCCTGGTTGGTGGTTTTGCTCATAAGCGGCAACAGTGCGGAGAGGCCTACGAGCCGCTGACCACAGCAGCGGGCCGATCAAGGCCCTTGATAATTAGCAACAATGGGGAGGCCGGAAAGGAACCACACCTCAAGACACGACATGACACGACGGGGTTAAAAGCATTTTAGAGCTGCGGGCCCGCGCGCCGTGCTTCACCAATGAGGTCCCGCAAAGCGCGGGCATGCGACGCCGATCAAGCACCGACAACAGTGTCAAAGTAGCTGAATCACAGCCAACGGCAAGGGAACCAGGAGCACAATAGAAAAGCCTTCGCTTAGCGACCGAAGCTCACAGCAGGCAGGTCATGGCCCATAAGGGGTATACGGACATGGCAGGGGGGCACCAAAACATAGAGCATAAGGGAAAACATCTTGGATCAGCCATAACAGAACGCACAATTCCACGGTGGGTTTCATTCAAGCGGGAAGAGGTGCATGCAAGAGTCACGTATGCACATTCCCCGCCTGTTAAAGCATAGTGCACACAGGGCGACCCACTTTCTCCCACTGCCTCATGATGCTGTGCCTCAAGACCATGCGCACTTTGTGCATCCCAGGAAAGAAGCGCTCTGTGACTTTCCTGGTACATTGGCATTCAGAGTTGACTGAGCAGTGCACGTCCTACTTTAGGGTAGTGTTTGTGTGCTATTCTGGTACAGCGTACTTTCGCACCGCGACACCAAAGCATGCATCCACACAACATAAAATTCAAAAACTATTGCCCAGCCTTTGGACATCTTGCAGGATACAATGAAAGCACTTGTGGCTTACACCTTCCGCTTAGCAGAAAACGACAAGAACAAGGCTCGAGGGGGGCAGGGCAGATCCCGAGTGCGCAGAGTCCCGCGTGAGGGAAGCACATGCAGGATACCTGCTTGGGCCCCTTGAGCTACACGGAGTCGAGGGCAGCGCGTTCCTCAAACCCTGAAGCGAGAAGACGACACGAAGGACTGCGAAGTCAAGCAAAACAGTGCAGGTCGGGAGCGGCACAGCTTTTGTGAGGGAGCATCGTTCTACAGCATCACCGGCTGTGTTGAAATAAAGCGATGTTACTTTCACGGGGCTGGTGGCACATGTCACATAACCCTTCCTCCAGCGTGTCGCCGGCAATTTCCAGGCTGGGTCGATCTCGCAAGAATTGCGCTAGTTCACGACCTCGGAAGCATCGCTTGCCCCCCTGAGTCACGGCATGGCACGCGCCTGCTTCGACCTGGTCTCCTGTTGCTGAGCCTGGGTTCCATACGCAGGCTTCTAGCGTCGGTGTCGCCCAAGCCTGGCCCAGGACGAATCTGTGCAACTGGACTGTCACTTCTACCCTCACGGCGCTTTTGCCAAAAAGTCCAGGGTCTGCTCTGCTCTCTGGTGCAATCTTGCGAGGGCGTGCCATAGCTGAGGGAGTGGTACAGACAGCTGCCGTCTCCGGGTTGGCGAATGACGCGCGCATTCCTGCAGGGAGCTGGAGGAACCTCTTGAAAGAATCATGGATTGGGTCACCCTTGCTCCGCTTCTCCTGAGCACAAAGTTGCCCGGGTTGCCCCCCATCTGGTGCGGATTGTTCTTACAGCCATAGTTCACCTGCCACCAGCCAGCTAGCGCGTGCCAGCTGTCCATGATAATGATTCCTGGGGGGCCGCACCCAGGCGTCCTTGTGCTTCTCTCTATCTTTCTGGAAGTGCGGGCACCTGCCATAGTGAGCTTGGCGCAGTGCTTCTATGAGGCCTCTGCCAACGGCCTATCCGTCGGGTGCTTGCCATCGCACTTGTCGCAGGTGGTGGAGCCGGAGCTGCCGGCAGAGGTGATGCCTCGCAAGCTGAGACAAGCTGAAAGCTGAGCTTGCTGTTAAGCAGAATGAGAACGGAACCCCCCCTTGCCCGTGTGCAACGAAAACCCAATCTATTTGCCAGCTGAAACTGTGTATTGTAACACAAGCCCACAACCTAGGCGGCAACTACATAGGTTCTGGGGGGTCGCAGGAGGAGGATGAAAAAATAAAACCCGAAGGCCTCCTCCAATTGTTGGATTATTTACAGTCTTTAATTCCAGGCCCGAAAAAACAAGTTAGAAAAGCTTGAATAGTTTAAATCCTGAGGAGGGGGTCCGGCGGGGGTCCGGGAATCACCTCCCCAGGATTTAAAAACTTCGATTTTGTCAACTCCTTTAATTCCGGCCCGAACTAAACAATTTAGATTTCTTGAATCCGGGAGCCTCCCCCATATTTAGATTGTTTATGATATGTATTTCCCGGTCCGAATAAAGTAATGAAACCTGGGGAAAGGGTCCGGGAGGATCCGGGAACCACCTCTCCAGGATTTATCATTATTTAACTTATTTAATTCATCTAATTCATGTAATTCCCGGCCCGAAGTACATAATCTAAATTTCTTAAACCCGGAGGCCTCACCGATATTTACTTTTGTTTAGTTATTTAATTCCCGGCCCGAGTTAAATACGTAATTTAGATTTTGTAAATAATTGTAAATTCCGAGGAGAGGGGTCCGGACCAGGATCTAAATTGATTGAATTATTGAAGTCATTTAATTTCTTTAATTCCCGACCAGAATCAAATAATGTAAATTTCTTAAAGCCCCGGAAGCCTTCCCAATATTTACATCATTAAAGATGTTGAATTCCAGGCACGGACGAAATGATTTAAATAAATCAAATCTTGGGGTGGGGGTCCGGGAACGACCTCCCCAGGATTTACATTATGTACATTATTTCATTCATTTAATTCATCTAATACCAGGCCCGAATTACATAATTAAACTTTCTTGAACCCGGAGGCCTCCCCCGTAGTTGCAGTATTTACCTTATTTTTTCAATGCCCGGCCCGGACTAAATAATCTAACTAGCTTAAGTAATATAGATCCTTGGGAGGGGGGTCCGGGAACCACCTCCCCAGGATTTAATTTATTTATTTTAATTACTTCCCGGCCCGAATTAAATAAACTGAATACTGTAAATCCGGAGGCCTCCCCTTCGTTAAGTTAATTTAAATAGATTAAATTGAATACTTTAAATAACTTAAATCGTGGGGAGGGAGGTTCCGGTGGGGGAATCGAAAATTTGAAACAAAGATATTGGGGGAAGCCTCCGGATATATAAACATGCTTTTTGAATTACTTAGTTCGGCCGAGTCCCGGGGCCTCACCCCACCACGCTAGCCCCCAGCCCCGCAGCCCCAGCCAGCTCCCGGCCCCGCCCTATCGAGCCGCTCTTCACTGTTCTTTTTTCTGAAAACGCAGCGGTTCGATAGCACCAAATATTCTGAGACAACACCCTTCGGAAAATTTGGCGCTATCGAAGCGGGCTTCGCTGTCCTCATTTTCCAAAAACGGCAGCACCAAACTGTCTGAAACGACACCCTTCGGAAAATTTTGTGCTATCGAACCGCCTTTCGCTGTCCTGATGTTCTGAAACGCCGCGGTTCGATAGCACCAAAATTTCTGAAAGTAAACCCTTCAGAAAATTTGGTGCCATCGAACCGGTTTTGTTTGTTGTCAGTATTTGCAATGG